TCCTGCTGAGGTGGAGCTCTGGACTCCCACCCTGGCAGGGCCACACGGTCCTTCCTTCCCCTACTCAGCCGACCGCACCAAAGAAACCAGAACCCAGGCCGAAGTATCAGAAACGTGTATGCTTTTTCTTTTAATAGTAAACCTCTTTACAACAAATATAGTGAAAGAGTTTTCAAACAAAACTCATAAGAATCTCAAGGACTTTGTCTTTTCTTATTGTGTAGAATACTAAGAAAGCATCACCATACAGCACAAAAAGAAATATTGAAAACAAATCAACAGTCACACACTTGGACTCGCCCTCCCCAGGACCCAGGATGAGCCCTAGGAGTGTGGGTGATTGTCGGGTTTGAGGGTGGGGCACCTCCGGGCCTGTCTCCCCTCCCTCTCCCTCCCCCCTTCCCTCTGGGACTTGAATGGGGAAGACAGAGAGAATCCAGATTCTCTGTAAGACACTCCAGCCCCCCTCCCCCGCTACAAATCCCATTCCTTCTACCAACTGCTTAGGGGATGGAGAGGTGGCAAGAGGGGAGATGAAGTGTTCCCAGGCTCCATGTCTCCTCCCCTCCGTGAAAGCCTAAATTCACCCCCCACCCCACCCCACCCCACCCCACCCCAAGGGATTCCAAAGAGTCAGTTAAAAATATATAGATATAGATATTTCTAGATACACTTTTACATCATTTCTGTCTCTCCAAACAAATAAATAATCAGCAAGAGAAGGTGCATTACTTCCTTCCTGTCCAAGGTGGGAAGGGCTGGATAAGGGTCAGGGGTCAGTCTTGCTGCATTGAGTGCACTGCTGGGGGGAGGGGAAATGGTGTGTTCCACCGGGGGAGGGGTGTATGTGTGGGAGGTCCTCTTGCCCACTATCCCTGAAAGCTGTGGGAAACCTGGGGAGGGGAGGGGCATTGGATGACTCCAGTGATTACTTTGGCAAATGCCCAGTTCTTCGGAGGAAGGAGTGGGTGGAGGCAAATTTGGCTTGTGAGAGGAAGAAGAAATGAAGTCCCCACTTGAGGTCTGGGTTCCCAGAGACCCATTCATCAGGCCGGCCAGGGGCCCCGAACCCCAAGAGAAACCTCGGGATACTGAATTGCAGAAATGTCACATATTCATTCACAGATCACCCCCTGCCCCCAGGGATAGAGGGAAAAGGACACACACACATCCACACATGGTAATCAAAAGCCAGGTTTGCCATTACAAGGCAGAGGGCAAAACTGGTGAATATTGCACCGTGAACTGCAGGGGCCCTCATCCCGACCCCATGTTTAATGGTGGCCAAGCCCAGCCTTTCTAGAAAGGTGGGCAGACTGATGGCGGGAATAGCCTGAGAAGGGAAGGCCAGTCATTCAACGTTTATTGAGCACCTATCATTCACCTTTCACCCAATCAGCATTTGTTGAGCGCTGGCTATGTGCCAGGCACTGGGCAAGGCTCTAGGAATGCATGCATGCATGCACAAGACTACACCCTGGCTCCTTTCAAGGTCCTGATCAAGTCTCATCGATTCTTGACACTCCCTCTAGGAACGTGCAGGAAGACTGGGCATGCTGTGTGCCCAATCAGCAGTTGGGGGGTAAGCTGTAAGGAAGGATCACAGCCCAGGTGAGCAAAAAGCTGCAGAGAGGAAGAGGAACTTGAGTATCATCCTGAAAGCAGGAGGGTACTCCAAGAAAGGGAGCTGGGTATAAAGGCCTGGGGACTGGGTGAACAATTGTGCGTGGAGCTGCGGGAGAGGTAGGGCTATAGGGAGAAGCAAAGAGGGCCAAGTGCCAGATCCCCAAGTGAAGCATAAACATATTAGAGCTGAGGGTGAGAACAGGGGATGCAGCAGGGAAGAAGAGAGTGGGGCTCAGGAAGGAGGGTCATAGAGCTGGAAGCCAGGGCTGTGTGGCTGCAAGAAGAGCCATCTGTCCCTCTGTAAACACACACTCAGGCACAGACACACACACACACACACACACACACACACACACACACCCTCAGAGCTCAGTTCACACAGATTCACACACACATGCCCAGACGGGCTCAGAGACACATAAAGGTACACCCATGCAACCATACACACACACACATAAATACAAAGGTACACTCAGACACATAAATACCAGATGCCCTCATAAACACACTCGGGTACCCGTGCGGTCACACGCACCCCTCTGCTCTGGTTTCCTTCCCTGCATCAAGTGTCGGAATACTGCAAGCGGCTGGATCGTAGAGGCAGGCAGAGTGTCGCCTACCACAAAACCGGGCCTTGTCTAACTCTACTTTCCCACCAGGATGAAACCCCAAGGGAGCGCTGCACCCCTTGGGCAGAGGGGCTGGGCTTCTTATGTGAAGGAGTGGGGCAGGCCCCAGTCTGCCTGCCCATGTCACCCCAGGACAGGCCCATTAGGGCAGGGAGTAGTGGTGGATTGCGGGCCGGGGGCCTGCCCCCTCCAGTTTGATCTGTGATCCAGCCTGGGGTCTCAGGACCCCACGCTTTGGCTGCCCCCACTGGGGAGGCAGTAGAGAGGGCGGACTTGTGGGGAGGGGAGGGGAGCAAGAACAACAGCAGAAGAATCTCGTCTGTACAGTACGGGCCGTTTGAGTCATTATTATTACAATATACTTTGACAAAAATAGAATCTCATTTCATATCAATACAACAACAACAACAAAAAAACAGTTTCCTGGACTGTTACACTGCTAACGTTTTCCAAAGGTTGCTATTTACAATTACAGTAGCCAAGACAGAAGGTGGGATGCGGCCTGGGGGTGGTGGGACAGGAGGTAGCGAGACAATGAGGGCGCCAAGAGCAGGGAGGTGGGGTCAGGAGCGGAAGGAGCTGGGAGGAGGGCTGGGGAGAGGGGCCGAGGAGGAAAGAAGGGAGGCAGGCCTTTTGTGGACCTCCTCCATCCCCTCTCCCACCCTCAAACACCACCCCAATGTCCACTCCTCTGGGGATGTGTACGTGCAAGGAAGAGCGAGTCCCCTCACTCACGCTAGTCCCTGGATGCAAGGGTTTCCAGTCCTCAGGCACCCCGGGGTGCCTGAGGACACCTCCTGCTGAGCCACTTCACTCTCCCCAGTTCTCCCTGCGCTTTGTGGCCAGCTTTACAGGGCTGGTGTCAACTGAGGGACGGGGAGCTATTGCACTGTGTATCTTAGAGAAAGTGCCGGGGAAGGGAGGGGGCCCCCAATTCACCCCCTGCCCCAGCCCTTCTGCCCCTCCTCAGCGCTCTCCTCATGGCTCTCTGTCTTTCTCTCCAACTGTGCTTCATAGGGGCCCCACCTCAAGCCCCTCCCCTCCAGCCTCGATTCCCAGGCAGCCTTCCCAGCCCCAAACCTCAGCCAGCACCCGCACACCTTGGAGGTGCAGATCACACGAGAATCAGTTGAGAGTGTGTGGTGTGTGTGCAGGGGCCTCTGGAGCCCAGGTTTGGGTGTTCTACCCCATGTGCCTGTGGCCATAGGAACAGCCGAGCAGCAGAGACCTTCTTCAGAACCTCTGCCTCACTTTCCCCCTGAAACACGAAACCACCCATGAGGCCGACTTTGGGGTTTCAGTCTATTGTAAGGGGTTTTTGTTGTCTGGTAGTTTTTGGTTATTTCCCTCTGTCTGGGGGATGGGGTGGGAGGGCCCCGCATGCAGGGCTCGGCACCTGTCCTTTCCCAAGGCCTATCGGGCCCCCCACCCCCTCCTGCAGCATATGTGTACAACGTGCAAAGTGTCCCCCCCTTCCCGCAAAAAAGAGCCCCCCAGCCAGTGAAACTGGTGGGGGGTGCAGAAAGAGGGGATGGGAGCATCCCCCTCTCCAAAGCGAGAATCCAAATTAAAAAAAATATAATAATAATATAATAATAATTATACACAAATGTAACCGTCAACAGGACACAGAGCACAAGAAAGGAAGTGGGGGTCGAGCGGGAGGAGCCCAGGACAGGGAGGGGTGGGCGGTGAGATTGTCAACTCTTCATCAGGGAGGCTGAGAGGAGGGGAGTGGGAACCGTCACTTTAATGTCTGTGAAGAGAGGAGATGGAGAAGGGGGTGTGAGGGCGTGGCCCAGGCTCCGGGGTATGTGCCCCCCACGTCCCTCTCCCAGTAGGGCCAGGATTCTAGTGGCAGGTCATCGAGCAGAAGGACTGATGCTGGAGGGAGGGGAGATGGGCCTTTGGCAGGGGTGAAAGGGTGTCCGTGCTGCCCCATAAGGGCTGATGGAAGGGCTAGCTGGCCACCTCTTAGGTGGGAGATGAGACGGGCTAGGGGCATATGGGCCAGTCCCTGGGTGTAGCAGACAGTGGCAGACCGGAGGGGTGATGCTACAGTACCCAAGTATCGAGCCGCATCCTCTTCACAGCTGAGCCCTCAGCCTCAGGCTCTGGGGCTGGGCGCAGCAGGCCCAGTGTGGGCCCGAAGTCTCCCCGTCCATCATCCCGGTCCCCCGTCTCATAGGAGGCCCCAGCCGGGCTGCTGAGACTATCACCAGGCTCAGGGCGGGTAGCCGGAAACACAGCTGGAGGGGGAGGCGCAGGGCTGCGCTCACGGCTTGGGGACACTGGTTCCGACTTGATGCTGATGTGGGGGTGGGTGGTGACCGTGAGGGCAGCACCCACGTGGGGCAAGGGGCTGCTGGGGCTGGAAACAGGCAGTGGGCATGGAGTACAGGGGACAGAAATAGAGGAGGTGAGGGACAGAAAAAGTGATGGGAGGTCACACGACAGGGAGTGAGAGAGGACAGAAAGTGAGAGGATGGGGGTTGGGGGTGAGGTGAAGCAAGTGGATGGAGACAGAGGCGGCAGGAGAGAGAGAGGGCCAAGTGAAGGGAAAAGAAGGGATAGAAGTCACGTGAGTTGTCTTCCATCCCATGTCATCTTCTGCAGAGCCAGGAGGGCCCCACACCCCACCACAAGCCCGGGCTGGCTGGGGGAAAGGCTCAGGATGGCTCTCCCAGGCCTTGACAGGGGACTCCAGGGCTGCCACTTAGTGGCTTACGTGCTGTCCACTGATGACAGACAACCTCAAAGGGATCTCAGCTCTCAAGAGGCCCCTCCTCTTCCCACCCCTCAGCTCCCCCTTCCCCAACACTGGTGGGGCATCCCCCGGGACTCACATTAGGTTGCTGAGGGACACAGGGACCAGGTGGGGCTGCTGCTGAGGTGGCGGCTGGGGCTGCTGGGGAGGCTGGGGCTGCGGCTGCGGCTGGGGCTGCGGCGGCTGCTGCGGCTGCGGCGGCTGCTGCCAGGCGGTGACACTGCCTAGCGACAGCCCCCCAGGCGAACTGAAGGCCGGTAAGGAGGAGAGCTCTGCACTGGTCAACTGGTAATCTGCATGGGGTGGGGAAGAAAGTGCGGGTGAGCTTCTTGCAGTGGGAGAGAGGACCGAGGCTCCCATGGGGGAGCCGCCTCCAGGACTATCAGGCTGGGGGGACTTGTTAACAACAGATGTGAATAATCAAATATGCCGGTACAAATTCAGTGAAGATGGCACCCAAAGAAACGCAAATCTTAATAACCACGAGGTGCTGTTTTTTAACAGGATGCAAAGAGAGGTGTTTTTTAAAATAGTGTTTAACTTTTTTTTTTTTTTAACCGTGTGTAGGTACCACTTTTAGAATGTCAATTTTAAAAAAGAAGGCGAGGAACTTCCCTGGTGGCGCAGTGGTTAAGAATCTGCCTGCCGAGGCGGGGGACATGGGTTCCAGCCCTGGTCTGGGAAGATCCCACATGCCGAGGAGCAGCTAAGCCCGTGCGCCACAACTACTGAGCCCGCGCACCACAACTACTGAAGCCCGCGCGCCTAGAGCCCGTGCTCTGCAACAAGAGAAGCCACCGCAATGAGAAGCCCGCGCACTGCAACGAAGAGTAGCCCCCGCTCACCGCAACTAGAGAAAGCCCGCGCGCGGCAGCGAAAACCCAAAGCAGGCAAAATTAAAAATATAAATAAATAAATTTTTAAAAAATTAAAAAGAAGGGGAAAAAGGTAGGTAGGGAAGGTCTAATATATGTCTAATTGTCATCTCTTCAACTGCCAAGTCTTCAAGAGCCTTTCTGAGATTAGAGGGGAATGGTGGGAAATGCTAGGTGAATGGCACATCTGAAGCAAATGACTGTAACTACCATTCCACCTTCCTCAAAAGTCCCTGAGTCTCCTGAAGACTGTCAACACATAAAACAGGTAGGAATAGGTAGCAGCAAGCGTTCGGGATGCTGTGCCCACAAACACAGAGGACGCACATCTGCTGCCCAGAAGGGCCTACAAGAGCAGAGGGGCTCTGAGCGAAACAGGCCTGCGGTGCAACTGGCCAAGGTTCTGGCGGATTTCCCCATGAGGTGGCACTCGTTTTCAAAATTTCTGTCTTAATGAAGAATCTGTGATGTTTGCACTGTCACAGAACAAACAGAACCATGAAATGTTTCACAATTTACACAGCTCTGTTATGTTTCATGCCGCAGCCTGTTTGGGACACTTTAGAAAATGCCTTCCCTGAGGAACACAGGCTGACTGCACCGCGGTGTGATGAGGAGGGCACACCCACCAGTCTTCCCAATGCTACACCACGTGCTCCTACTTGAGGGGCCATCTGCTCCAGCCCTCTGTCTTTACGCAGGGAAGACAGGATTATCTGTGCAACAGAACGGTAAGGTGAAGGGCATGAGCGATGGGGTCAAACTTCCTGGCCACCTCCACTTACAGTCCATGCTTCCTTCGGCGAGTTACTTAGTCTGTCCATAAACTGGAGGCAATAGTCCTGCCTGCATCACTCAGCTGCTATGAGGACTGAGCACGTTAATACACACGAAGCATGTAGAACAGTGTCTGGCACATGATAAATAATCAAAAGATTTACCTGCTGTTATTATTAATTTACAAATGAGGCGACTGCAGCCTCAAGTTTGAAGAACTCTCCCCAGGTCACAGAGAAAGCCAATGGCAGAGCTAAGACATGACCCCAGGCTTCTTTTATTACCTTTAAATCTCACTCTATAGATGGTCCACGCTTGCCTCTGGTCTCATAACAATGTTAATTAGCCAGGAGTTTTGAGATGCTTACGTTTAAAAAGCAGACCAAGGGCAGACAGCGGCCCCTAGGACCAACTATTTACAACATTCATTTTACAAACAAGGAAACCAACCCTGAACAGTGCAGTGTTGCCCAATGTCCCCCAGCCAGTGAATGGTAGGGACTCAAACCCCAGTCTTGCACTTTCCCACCACACTCCAGCCCTGTCTACCTGGAGATCTGGCTCCCCAGCAGGCCCCTGGGTCTCCTCCTAGAGCGACCAAGCCAGACCTCTGCAGCCAGTGTCAACAAGGGGCCAGGTGCGTCCCTTATCCATGATATTACCACAGGCAGCTCACCCCCAGCCAGAACTTGGACTGGGGCCAAGCACTGTAAAATAGTGAACAACTAAACAGCAATGTGTTCACTGGGGATTTGTTTATGTATGTAGGGTCACCTGAAAACACCTGCTGTTTAAACCGAGGTCTGCTTAACTACTCCTGCAGCAAGAGGAACTGGAGCCCTTGGTTTCTGAAAGGATGTGAGAAAGCCCAAACACTTCCCAGCAGGGCTCCAACGGCAGGCCCAGGGTCAGAATCTGCTTTCACACCAGACTGACAAATAGAGTCTAAAGTCTGGCCTTGCTGAGCGCCTGTCGCAGGTTCACTGACACCCACTAACCTGCCTCCTGCTTCACAGAGACTGGTGGAGGACCTGAGAAGATGGCAGGAAACCACCACCATGGGATTCCCAAATAAACAGCAGCTCCTGAAAAGTGGCCTGTGCTGCCCTCTACCAACCGCCCCCACTGGTAGGGCTAGAAGGGCCTCAGAGACCTCCTGTCCACCCACAACTCACAGATGAGAGCTCCTACTGGCCCCCGAAGGTGCGGCCATCTGAAGCAGTCCTCTCTGAAGCTGCCCCAGGACATGATAACTTGGGAGTGGGTACACATATGGGAGCACACACAAGGGACGAGGGACTTCACAAGACACCCAGGTGATAAAACCTGGACACCGACCCACAGGCCAGGGTCTGGCCTCTCAACACGAGGCAGTTCCTCCAGCTCTCTTACCTGCCCCGAAGGGCTTTCCCACACACAGGGTTGGGTTCTGGATTTTTACACACAGGAAGAGGTGGGATTTTGTGGGTATTTGTACTGGTGTCTGGGACCTACCTAGCATGGTTCAACTCTGGAATGTGGGCTTGGGGAGTGGGTAGAAGTTTAGGGGTCTTTTGGTCTAGTCTGATCTCACCACAGAACAGCCCTGATGCAAGCCATTCACAGGTGAGAAAAGCTGGGGAGCATCAGAAGCCTCTTCAGTGGGAGAAACAGACCAGGTTCTCAGCCACATCGATGCTCTGAAACAAGGTGACAAGGCATTTCCGCACTGGGAAGTCCTTCCTGACACAGCAGCTTGGAATGCAGGCAAGGATGGCTGAAAATGTCACAGACTGTTCCTGGGAGGGTGTGAGTGGGTGACAGAGGCCAGGACAGCCCTGGGGACCCAGGACGGCCCAAGCACTGGGTGTCCCTTCTGAATTTTTCTACCCAGAGGTCTCTCCCATGTCTCCAAGTGACTCTTCACCTTCAGCTCCCCTCCCTCACTTTCATCAGACCTCCTCCTCCCTTTCCCCCTCATCATTCCACCAAGCCAACATCAGGGTGAGAGACCCCCCTCTTCCTCCTCCGCCCCGCCCTGGAGTCCCTACTTGGCTTTCCCAGGAAGCAGGATAAATCTTCCTGACCATGCTTCCTCTCGGGTCTCCTCAGCCTCCCTGTCTCTCTCTCTCATTCCTTCTTTCTTCTCCAGGAAGCCTTGCTGAACTCGGCATATGCTCCCCTCCCCACTCCACGACCCTGGTCAGCCCGAGTCACCCAGCTGCTCAACCCACCTCGGATGGGAGCTCCCCAAGGACAGGGCTTTCCCTCTCCATTAGGTCCTATTTAAAAATAAGGGATACTCATACCCACTTAAATTTGATTTTCAGACAAAACAATGAATAATTTTTGCACAAGTATGTCTTTGAGACAGTTGCAGTAACACCATCACCATGTGAATGGCATCCGATGTTACTATTTGCTAAACCTGGCAACCTTAATTAGGTAGGGGCTACCCCAAATCAATGGCCCTCCTCAGATGGGGGCATCCCCCAGAGAATACCTCGTGTTCCTTCTCTGGTCCCTCCTGTGCCCCAAGGCCAAGTGCACACAGCTACATGTCACATGAACACTCACCTGTGTTGTAGGCGGTGGGCATGGAAGAGAAGGGGAGGCCCTGGCTGAGTAAACTCGGTGTTGCCACGGAAACCACTGGGGTGGTGAGCGAGTGGGTAGACTGGGAGACCCCAAGGCGCTGGGCATTGTTCTGCAGGAGAAAAGAGTCTGTCAAGAGGTGGCAAATGGGAGGGCTGCTTTATCCAGGCCCCCAATTCCAAGGACAAGCTGGCGTCCCTGAATCTCAAGGCCCAGGAGGGATGCCTCAGCATGAAGGCACCGCAGACACACAAACACTGGTGCATTCACAGAGACACTGAGATCCATGGAGAGAGACATGCACACACAGATTCACTGACGCCTACACACATGAGAAAAGGAAAGTACATATGCTGGCCCTGGGGCCCCAACACCAGCCATGGGCCCTGTCTCCATTCTTCTCCTGGTTAGTCCCCCTAGAGTCTACCCTCCATCTGTCACACTGCAGCACACGCCCTGGCAGAAGTGTGCTGGCATCTGTGAGGGGAAGGCAGGGCCTGGCGTGGCGTGTGCCTGCGTGTATGCACACACGTGTGTGGGGCTGTCAGCTCCATCTGCCGCTGAGTCACTTGTTTATTCCAACTCCACGCTGGGGCCGTAACTGCCGCTGTGTTGGCCGCCAAAGCCTGCCTGCCTTTTCCAGCCTCTCTGGCCTCCCGTCAGGGAGTTCGGGAGGGAGGAGCCCCCGCCCCACTCCTGGCTGAGGGTGAGGATGTAAGCATGTATATGTGTGACAGAGGAAGAGTGCTGCGTATGCCTCTGAGTGTCTGTAAGACAGGCTGCCTGCAGGAGGGAGCACCAGGAGAGAGGGAAGCAGGGAAGCCCCTGACCAAGGAAAACTCTGGCCTTGCCTTGGGCCTCAGCTTTCCCTAGAAAACCGATTTTCCTGTCCAGCTGGCATCCCTCCTAAGGAGGTCCCTGTCCTGGGTGGGCATGAGTAGAGTCAGAGGGCAAACGCAGTCCAACCCTCAGTCCAAGAGCCTAATCCAGGCACCCAGAGATACACTGAGATGGGACCTCTGAGGCCTGAGGCAGGCCCACTCCGCTGGTGCACGTGCATGCGTGCACACACACACACACACACACACACAGGTGTGTCTGCATGAATGCAACATCCCATGAAAACATAAATGGACACTCAGGTACATACATATGCATTGAACCCCTCGCCCCCACCCCGTTCATCTCTGCATCCCACTTGGCACTGAGCATAGCTCTTGGCAAATAACCAGATAAACAAACACCACACACTACACACACAGGCAAAAGGACAAAGGCACACACATACTCCATGCTGGGGGACCGCAGAGCAATGGGCTAACCCAGAATTTAAAGCCACAGCAAACATCTCATAGCCTCACTTACCAGATCTAAATGGTCCTCAGTCTGGGAGCAGAAATAAAACCAAGGGGATGGTTCAGTCTCTGGCCCCTGCCCTCCCCTCACGCCCCTGCCACCACAGCCATGCCATCCACCTCTTTGCATCGGAGCAGGATGGCTCTCCAGCCTAGGAGGGCAGAGCTCTTCACTGTCCTGATTTCCAGAAGATGCTATATCCCAATGCCCACCAGTTAGGAAACCCTCACAGCCTAATCCTCATCCCTCTGATCACCCTCCTATCATCTTCAGGGAACCTTCTCTCCCACCTCCTGTCCCTTTTTACTAACCTTAGGACTGGTACTTCTGTGCTCCAACCTCTTGGAAGGCCCTTCGGGAAGGAAGAGCTCATAAAAAGTCACGATTCCATGATCTCTCTAGGGAAGTCCTAACCGCTGGTTCTCTCTCCTGCTAGAGGTCGGCTCTGTCCTCCCACCCTACTGCTCTGCACTCTCCCATTCCCCAGTCCCTGGCCCTCGGTCCAGACACCCCACTCACCAAATGATGCATTAACCCCTTTCCTCCCTGGGAAGTGATGACCCTCAGGTCAGGCTTGCGGCTGGGGGCTCCAAGCTGGGCGCTGTGGGTGGGTGGGGGCGGAGACTTGGCAGGGATGACCTTGTTTAGGCTGTTGCCGTTGGCCATGGGGAGGAGGCCAGGGGAAGCCCGGGCACTGACGTAGCCATTCCCTGGAAAGGTGAAGAGATGAGGGGGTAAAAGGAAAAAAGTGGACCCACCACTTAGCCCTGTTAACTGCTCCCAAACCAATACTCCTGTCACCCAGAACTTCTCAAAGCCATGTTCAGACTTTGAGTGGCTACTGAGTTCTCTCATTTTCCCCTAAAACCACCCTGGTCTTGGGAGTAAGGGGAGAACACTCCTTACTCCTCAGTCATCGGGTTCATCCCCCTGCCTCTAAGCTACATGTGATGGGACTGGGTAGTAGGAGCTGGTCTCCAACGACAGGACGTCCAGCACCTGCCCCCAACTGGGCCCACAATAACGCAGGTTGGAGAAGGGTGGCAGCCTGGAAGTTGAGACTCAGTGTGGATCCCGGTCACGAGGGCAAATCAACCACTCAGACTGCTCCCCTTGCCTTGAGCTTGGGATGCTGTGATTTGGATAAGCATGTGACAAGATGCCTGTAGCTCTGGGAAAAAGACGAGCCACTCACTTGCAGTGCTGGTGTTACTGGAACTGGGGGACTGATGACATAGCTGCCACCAAAATTAGACTGGTAATAACAAGCAGAATAACCATCTTTTACATTTGTTCCACACTCCATAACCAACACAGGGCCTTCACACGTGTGTATCATCGTATTTAATCCTCACACTAACCCTGCAAGACGGACAGGACATGTATCATTAGCCCTATTTACAGACGAGGAAACACCTGCCAACTGCTGGTTTGGAGAGGTGCGATGCCTTCTCCAGGGCCACACAACCACTTTCTACGTGTTGCGCTCGAGGGCCTAGAAGTATCCCCGTTCCCTTAAGGTCTGCAGGCACTTCACTGGACCCTTCCTTGGAGGGGGAGGGGTATTCACCCATTGCCCCCACACACAACTGCTGCCAAGGAGGTAGTACGTGGCTCCTGGGGCCAAGCTGGGGAACTCTAAAACCCAGAGATGTGGGGGTGCCCAACGTCAGAAGTGATCACCTCGCCCTCGGCCCTGAGAGCACACTGCTTCCCTGCAAGTGTGTGGCTGCCTCCATCCCAATTCCTGGATCACTCCGGGAACGGCAGGAATGTTGGGGTGACGTCAATGGTGACATTCGAAGTCACAGTCACCAGCCGGACAACGGCACAGGGCAGGAGGGGCTGTCAGCTGCTGGGGGGGCGGGGTGGCATGGAGCGAGCTGTCTTTCTTCTGTGGTTCATAGACGTGTGCTTACAAGTGCACCTCTAATGTCTGGATATTTCCATAAGGGTGAGAAAATGTCCGTACGTGTGTAAGTGCGTGTTAAGTCTGTGCCTCTTATCTGTCGCCAATGTCAGATATTCGTATCTTCCAGATCCCAACCAGACGCCCCCCGCTACTGAACTGGAAAAATCTGGAACCTGTCTTCCAACTGGAAATGTTGGTCAGAGTTTGCCCAGAATTCCCTGAGCCTACATCTCTGCCAATCATCCACACCAATCACTGCTACAGACAAAAAAATCCAGAGGCTTAAAAATCCTCAGACACTACATCCAGCTCAGGCCCTGGGATCTTCCTCTCCCCTAATCTAGGCCACTCTCGGTCCCTGGAACACCTGAGGCCACCGAGCAGGCAGACCCTGGCCCTCCCCAGGCAGAAGGGCAGCTTTACTTACCGACAGGGCTGGGGCAGGCTCCGTTAGCACTGCTGAGGTCTCCCCCCAGCATGGCCCCTGGAGGAAAAAGAGAACCATAAGCCGACAGGACAGCCTCTTCCAGAGTGAGTCCTGGGAACTGGACTCACTGGGAGTCACACTCCCTTCCCTCTGGAACCATATACGTGGGAGAGTGCTGTGGTGGGTGAAGGGAAATAGTCACCGTGGAAAATGGAATCCCAAAGTCTCACCACACCTCACTGCCACGTCACCTACCCACCTATCAGATCACTTACCTGCGCTGGCTGGCCGCTGGGGCAGGCCGGGAGACACACTGTTCCTCTGTAGTGCTGGCTGCTGGGGGGACAGGAGCCGTGGGTCCGTGAGGGATGACGTCACCAGGGAAGGGGTGACCAGGGAGCCGCTGGGATTGCTGAACTGCAGTGAGCTCTGATTGGACACGGGCACCGTGACGGGCATGGCAAAGTTGGGGGCCGGGACAGCTGACTAGACAGAAGATGGAGAGGCAGGGTCAGGCCAGGGTGATCCCTTACCCTGGACTCACTTTGCCTGGGAGGGCAGGCCAGGGTTCCTCTAGCCTCTGGGCTGTGGGTCCTTGGGCCAGTAGCTCCATCTCTCTGCTCTGGAACCCCCTGGAGTCATGCCTGCCACCCCCACCAAGGAAGTATGCTGGTTGGAGTGCTTTGGGATCCAGCTCTGGCCCAGAGAATGAGAAGAAGGCTCTGCTCACTGCAGAGAGGCCCGGGGACACCTGGAACCCCCCTAGCGGAGGTGGGTTAGTCCTCAGCCAGGCAGGACACACAGAGAGCAGGTTAGAGGCCCTGAGTACAGACCCAAACTCACACACACAGCTGTTACGGATGAGTGCGTGGGTCGGGGCGTCACCTCACTTGTTGCCTCTCATCCGTCTGCCTGCTGCAGAGGGCGTTCACCCACCTCACTGCCTTCCCCTTCAGGAGGAGTCTCTGCCTCCCCTTGACAGTGCTATTGAGTATCTTGGGCTGGGGGTGTCAGAGCAGGCCCAAAGGGGCCTCTCCCCAGAACAAATCTGGGCAAAGAGCACATTCTCTACTTTCCTGTCATCTAAGGATCTCAGATCATCTACACACTTCTTGCTGGTGAGGGGGACGCTCCAGGCCTCTCCCGGCTTATGCTCCATCCAAGATGAGTCTCAGCAAGGGTCACGGGTTTATCACGACCAACATCAGAGGTTCCTCAGTGGTCACCAATAGCCCCAGCATGGCTCAGAGCAGAACATCCATCAGAGGCAGCCGAGGGCCGGGCCGGGGCGCGAAGCCACACCATGCACCACAGGGAGGCTCTCCTCCAAGCGACTACTCACGGCCAGTCTATAACTCTGCATCATTTTATCAAACTCCTCGTCTATCTTTTTATATTTCTCCTCCGTCTGGGGGGTCAGGGCAAACACCTCGTCCACCTCAGGGCTCTCACATTCCCTGTGCTTCTTGTGCAGCGCCTGGGGGGGAAGGGGCCGGAAGGGGGGGGCCAACAGAGAGAGAGTGAGTGGGGCTCACCCCATAGCGCCGGAAGAGCCCGTCGAGCTCCTCGCTGGCGCGCCGGTACTTGTCCTCCAGCAGGGGGCTCTGTTCCAGTGAGTCCTCCCCGTCGGGCTCTGGGCTGTCGCAGCCGTTGAAGCCCTTCTTCCTCAGGGTCTGTAACCGCACCACTACCGTCAGCAGGGGTGAGGGTCCTCCCAGCCCCGACCCCCCCCACACCCCGCCTCCCTGGCGTTCCTTCCAGCCCTTCCCTAAGACTCTCCACTAGGGCACTGTGTGACTGTGTGGTTGGTGGGGGAGGCGTCAGAATACAGGGTCACGTGGAAGGTGGGCCTAACCCAGGGAATGCAGCCGGCACAGGGACATGTGCTTCCAAGGTGACAGGTGGGGTGGGGGGTTTCTGGGGGATGAGCTGAGGGGCTGGTACCCAGAGCCAGCCTGTGCCTGTCTACCCTTAGGTGGACAGCAGGCACAGAGCGCTCGCCAGTGCAAGGCAGTCAGGGCTGACTTTGCCCGGCTCAATTCCTGGGCTCTGCTTAAAAGAAGAAGGGGAAAGAGAAATTGAAATGGAGACAGAGAGGTAGAAGAATAAGAGGGAGAAAGACAAAACATTTCTTTGCATCTACTGAGTTCCTACCACGTACCACCTTGTACGCTGTCCTCGAGCAAAGGCCACAGCTTCTCCCACGCACCCACACAAAGTACGGGATGCACACCTGGTGGTGTGGAGGAGACCCCAAAGCTGACCTCTCCACGCTCAAAACATCTTCACAGATGCTTGTTTTGTCTTGAAAATGAATGTGAATTTTACATTCTTGTCTAGAGTAAATCTGTTTTCTCTAATATAAAAATAAAAGAATTTCTTCCACATCTGTGGAGTGGAAGTCTCGCTCCAGGAAGGCAGGCCTGTGGCTTCCCAGGCACCCTTCATCAGCACAGGTCCCGTACCCCCAGTGTGAGAAGCAGGAACTGGGCTGTCTCATTCAATTCACACAACACCCTTCAAAGCAGGCACTGGCCCCATTTCGTGGAGGTGGGCACCAAGGCTCTGGGAAGCGAAACCACCTGCCCAAGGCCACACAGCCAGTAAAGGCCAGAGCTGGATTCCAAAGCCCACGTCCTTTAATGGTTTACAATGTCAGCTCTCTTTGAAACAGAAAATAGAGCCACAGGGACCCACAAAGGGACAGAGACAGAGCAGCAGAGATGGAAACAAAGAGGGAGACAGAGAAAGGAAGAGTCAGATGCAGGAGCATATCAAAAGATGGAGAAGGAAGGAAAGAGAGAGAAAGAGAGAGAATTTGAGAGCAGACAGAGCAGAGATGTCATGTTGTGCCTGACAGACATGAAGAAAGCGGCTCAGAGAGGGCTGGGGTGGGACTGGGCTGGGTGGGCAGCCCCATCTGACATCTACCTCACTGCCCTCCTTCCTTCTCGGGCCCGGGGTTTGTAGAAGAGGATGTGGGTTTATATGTGTGTGCGCACAGGTGAGGGGGCTTCAAGGGGCAGGTGTACATGTGTGTGTGCACGGGGAGGTCCAAGTGTGCATGATGCATGGGCACGGGGTGTGCAGTTGCAGGTGGGGGTGGGGTCCGCGTGCGTGGGCCCACCTCGATGATGTCGGCGTTGGTGCGGCTCTCGTGCGGCTCATTGTACTCCGTGTACTTGAGCAGCACCTTGTCCATGTCCGTGCTGGCGTACTGGAACAGCTTGTTGGAGTGGTTGAAGATGATGAGCGCGATCTCGCAATCACAGAGCACGCTCAGCTCGTACGCCTTCTTCATCAGCCCGAACTTCCTCTTGGTGAATGTCACCTGTAGGTGGGCGTGTGGGCGGCCAGGTCTGGCTCAGTCAAGGTCTGCCCAGAAGTCCCACCTACAGGGAGCTGGACATAGCCAGCCGCTGCCTTAGGGTAACCCTGTTCTGAGGAGCCCCTGGTCTGGGCAAGGAACAGGCCAGCAACCCTCTGCCAACACATGGCCAAGACACAGCCCAGGGCCAATTCACTGAAAGCAGAGAAATTCAGATGGACAGAACTCCCTATCCACGGGACACCTCTGTGCTGGGGGCTATAAAGAGGTTAGGGAGGGAGAACAGAAGAGCTTCCAGGCTCTTCCCTTGGGGTAGGAGGAGGGGAAGGATTCATCTTGGGAAAGGGGAAGTGCCTGGGTGAGGCCTGAGGTTTGCATATTGCATATGGTAGGGGCTCAGGTCTGCCTGGTTGCAGCAGCAGATGAGTCTTGGGGTTCTAGGGCACAGGGTCCTAAGAGCTGCAGGGAGGTGGGGATTCCTCTTCTCCCAACTTAGCCCTTGCCCTTCCATAACAAACTCCAGAGCCCCCTTCTTCCGGGAAGCCTTCTTGGAGTGGCTGGAAGTGGAGTGGAGGCAGAGGCCTGCTCCCTGCACTCATCCACTCCGTGAAGCTCCCGGATCCCCTCACCTGTCGGTTCCGCTCATCGGTGATTCGCTGGATCTGAATCTTTTTCCTCCCCATCTTTTCCGGGGATCTTCACTGCCGGGGAGGGGAGGGGATAGCTGGGTGGCGGGTCTCGGCACACCTTACACTGTGCTCATGAACAGTCTCGGACCAGCACTCAGTTCATGGTCTGCGGGACACCTTCTGTACAGCCTCCTGGGTGGGGAGGGTTACAAGAGGACTGTCAGCCCTGGCAACCCTCAGGCCTGCTCCTTTGGCACACGGGCCAGCCTCACAGCACCCCTGTGAGAGGCTGGCAGCATCTGAGCCCCGTCCACAAACTAAGGAAATGGTGGCGACCTGAGGTGATGGCATGCCACAGCCAGGCACAAGCCGGAATTCACTCAGGGCCCAGGACTCTGCTCCAGGCTCCTTCCACACCATCACTGCTGCCCTCAGGTTCTAGGTCAGACAGAACACAATCAGGGAGCTCCCTGGCTCCTAAGGGTCTGGGTCTTAGAGAATGTCCCACCCCCTCACTTCTCCCCAGAGCCCACCAGGAGCAGAGACACCTGGGCTTGCCAGCTGCCCCGCTGGCCTAGGATGGTGGTTCCCATACAGAGCCCGGTGCAGAGAACGTGCCGAGTGAACACCCGCCGAGGCTGTGAACAGCTAGCCCGGTGTACCTGCTGCCAGAATGGGAGTATGTCTGCACCCCTCACTCAAGAATATACCAGAGCAGGTCTAGAGCAGTGGTCCTCATACCAGACTCATGGAACCCTGGAGCCTGGAGTCCCAAAGTAGGGCTTGGGCTGCAGAACCCCTATCTCCCTTTAACCGGGGCTCCTCTACACCAATCTGTTTTACTCAGTGGGCCTTGGCCTAAATTTCTGCTTTGAAGAAAGGATTCTGCTGCTTTAAATAAACAAACCAACCAACCAACCACCCCTCTACACCAGAGGTCAGTAAATTTTTTCTTTAAAAAGCCAAATAGGGGGCTTCCCTGGTGGCACGGTGGTTGGGAGTCCGCCTGCCGATGCAGGGGACGCGGGTCCACATGCCACGGAGTGGCTGGGCCCCATGAGCCATGGCCGCTGAGCCTGCACGTCCGGAGCCTGTGCGTCCGGAGCCTGTGCTCCGCAATGGGAGAGGCCACAGCAGTGAGAGGCCTGAGTACCTCAAAAAAAAAAGAAAAAGAAAAGCCAAATGGGGACCTCCCTGGTGGTCCAGTGGTAAAGAATCTGCCTTCCAAGGCAGGGGACGTGGGTTTGATCCCTGGTTGGGGAACTAAGATCCTACATGCCGCAGGGCAACTAAGCCCTCATGCCACAACTACTGAGCTCGCGCACCTCAACTAGAGAGCCCGTGTGCCGCAACGAAGAGCCCACGTGCTCTGGAGCCCACGCGCCACAACGAAAGATCCCACGTGCCGCAACTAAGACCCGTTGCAGCAAAAAAAAAAACATGGCCGCTGAGCCTGAGCGTCCGGAGCCTGTGCTCCCCAACGGGAGAGGCCACAACAGTGAGAGGCCCCCGGACTGCAAAAGAAAAAAAAAAAAAAAAAAAAAATAGGTAAATAAATATTTAAAAAAAGAAGCCAAATAGTAAGTATTTCAGGTTTTGCAGGCCACACCGTCCCTGTTGTAACTACTCAACTCTGCCATTGTAGCATGAAAGCAGCTGTAGACAACACATTTAAAAGAACGAGTGTGGCTGTGCCCCCAATAACACTAGATTTATAAGAACAGGCATGGCCAGATTTGGCCCATGGGTCACAGTTTGCCAACTCCTGCTCTAGAGGAGTGGGGCATGCCTAGAACCCAAGCTCAGTCTAAGAGCACTGCCTCCCAACCTTGCTCAACTCAGAGCATGTAGAGAAAATATAGAACCAGTGCCAGACAGGAAAGAGGCTGCTGGCAGCCAGGGGGACACAGGCACCAGGTGGAAGGATCCTTGTCTCAGTACACCTATAAACCCATCATGGCCCACTGGCTGAAGAGCTCCAATTAAAGAGCCAGGAAGGGAAACGGAGGCCCTGCACTGTACAGAGTGAGGTACCACAGGATGGAAGGAGGCACAGGGATGGAGGCCCAGCCTGAGCCAGACAAGGTGCATGCCCTCAGGTGTGGGTAGCACCTAAACAGGCTGGGTGAGCCCCCGGGGACTGGAAGGGCCCAGGATGGAGGCACAAGATGACCCCAGGGCCCTTCTGGCTCTGTGATTCCAGAGATGGAATAGTGGGAGATGGTGGAAAGGGGCAGTAGGCGTGGAACCCGTGCTTTCTAAAGCCACTCTGATAGGGTCCTGGGAGGAGCCCAGACCACAGAAGCCCAGCCCTCCTTTCCAGAGTTCCCCTTCCACAGAGTCCCTGCCAGAGGGCCCACTACAGAGTCCAGGAAGGTGGGCTCTCACCTCCCCACAACCAACCTGGGCAGAGGGTGGGTGTTTGACGACAGAGACACCTGTAATTAGGAACCCTCTCCCCAGCCCCCATTTCCAGTGGCTGCTGAGTTTCTCTAGCCTTTACATATCCACTCAACCATGGGTCCCAAGGTTCCATAGTAGATGCCAAAGTTCAGCCTTGGCATCTTGGCCATAGAGGGAAGGAGAGAGGGAAGGCAGGGAATCTATGGCCTTGGAAGGAGGCAGGAATATCCCTCCCCACCTTTTCCCATTACAACTTTCCCTCAGGCGTTCCCTAGCACAGCTGGAAAGAGAGCTGCTCTGTCCAGGTAGCTTCAGAAAACAATGTAGCCCCCTCCCCACTCCTAGAAGGACCCTCCACACCTCCCTCTCTCTCCCCAGGGAGAAATCTTCAAACCCTCTTCCCTTCTTCCTTATCCTCAAGGGGCTCCATGGGCCTTGGGCCTCCTACTGTCCACCCTCACACATGCCCTAGGACATCACCATCACCAGCCCAGCCAACCCTGAGTTGGCTGAACAGATATCTGGACCCAGAACTAGCTCTAGCCACCCCGTCCCTTGCCTGTGACCCCGATCTCTGCCAAACACGCCACTGCAAAGGCTCCAGCCCGAGGAGTTCGGCTGCCCCGCCTCCCAGTGCAATCCAAAGGCTGTATTTTCCAGAGTTGCAGTGGTACGGGTTTGGCAGAGAACGGGGCGGGGAGGGCACACTGAGGGCAAGGGAGGGCTAAGAAGAGGGCTTTTTAAAATTTTTCAAGAAGAAGGTTTTTTTTAATGGGATTCTCTGGCCTGGCCTTGAAAACCCCAATCTAGACTGGTAAATGCAGTCACCATCACCCTCCTCTGGCTCACAGTATCCACCTTTCATCCCTCTCCCATTTTACTATCTCCTTCTTGCTACCTTTTGCTCATCAGCAAATTTTTGCTGAGAGGTAACCTCTACCAGTTTATGGCCAATGCTGTCTCTTCCCTGAAGTTGGGAGAGATCCCTCTCCTTGCTCTCACGAGCCTCAGAAAAGTCATTCCTACAATCTAACTTCATTCCTTTGGTTCTCCCCAAGATTACTGACTCTCAGATATTTTGTTCTTTTCTTTCTAGCACTTATCATGATTGTAAATAATTACAGTTCTGTGCTTCTATTTAATGCCTGGCTCCCCTATGAGACTGAAGCTTCATGAGGGCGGGAACCACATCTGTATCCTTCACCACTCTATCCCGTGTAAGGAGGGGTTTGGGAAATGTCTGTTGAAAGGAAGAAAGGACTGTTTCATCGCTGTGACCCTGTGAGAAGTCCTTCTTCTGGTCTAACTTCTGTTGCAGGACCAGCTCCTCCCACTCTATCCTCTGTGGAGACAGAACTCTTCCTCTCCCAGCTGCGCCGGCAGCTTGTCTGTTTGGACGCCACCTACCCTCCAACTACCCCTGCTACTCCAGTCCTCAACCCTCCCTACCCTCAGGTTGGTTGGTACAGAGGGTGAGACTCTAAAGTCTTCTAAGGAGCAGCCCTGAGTACATGGAGATGGAGAAGACTGGGTTGCTTAGGCAACTGTCACCTGGCAACCAGCTCCCTGGCTGATCTCCTACACCACCACCCCCACCCCCGCCTCATGCTGGGGGAGCTGGGATTTTAGAGGGATCAGGGCTGAGAAGACAGGGAAGCCACAGAGACCCACTGAGCATCCTCTGATAGAGCAAAGTCAGGGTTAAAAAGACCAGGCCTCATCTATACCCAGTAGCCCAAAGCACTTTTTATGATTCCATGTTCCCATGGCGCCTTCCCCATTGCCACTCCTACCCCTGTGCCAACACTGCCAGAGGAGGAGATGCCCCTACCTTGGGCAGTCCTTCCTCCTATCTAACCAGGAGCCTTCCTACAAAGCAGGCTCAGTCTGTACTCATCTCTTTCCCCTTCTGCTATCCATTCTACACTGTTGCAGTCTTGGAAAGCTTGGGGGCAAGAACTCAGCCCTTACTTTGGAAAAAGGGGTGGCTGGGGCCTGGGTGGGCACAATGAACCCTAAACTGACCCTATCCAAGGTATGGAGGCCTATCTTGTCCAAGCTTCCCTCCTATCCAATTAGGGAGATTTTAATGAACACCTGGACCTCCTTAATTAGCTCTCTTCCTAATTACCTAACCAACTGCCAGGAGCCAGAGGCCTGGGCACCTGTTATCCAGATGTGAGCCTTTTCCTCTTCGCCTGGGCCGGCCCCATTCCTCTTCCCCTTTCCAGCCTGCTCCTCCTCTAGGAGGCCCTCCCAGATGACCGGGCTTTTGGCTGCTTCTCCTGGAGGCCAAAGGCTTGGGAGGCCTTAGGGCTGCCACGGAGACGGGGTTATCCAGGATGGCCTTCCTGCTCTGATGGCCCCAGGGCCCACCCAATCCTGACCTCAGGCCACAGCTGTGACTCCTTGGGCTGGCAGCATCTCTGTCACCAAAAGTACCCCCTCGAAGACTCCAGCTGCTTCTGATTCTGATTCACCTACTCGGAGTAGTGCTGGCAGGACAGGATTGGGCAGGGTGGACCTCCTGGGGAGTAAGTGGGAGCAGACAGAGATAGGGCCTCCCCCAACAGAGACAGAAGGAGCAAAAAAGGAGGAGGATGGCAGCTGGGCTGAGTCCCAGGGAGGGAGGCGCAGACCCACCGTCTGTGGAGAAGGGTGGCTGCAGAGAAGCCTTTGCAAATGAGACAGGACACAGGGCAGGAGGCTCATCTGACAACACTCTTGACAAGGAGTAGAGG